GTAGGGGGGCTTGCTCCCCTGCACCACAACCCTGTGGAAAGAAAGAGAGAGTGAGAGACCCGAAGTCCATACAAGGGGACACAAGTCGAACAGTGCAATGAAACAGGGAGAATCCCTTCCTGTCGGGTCATAGTGGGCTTTGTCACAGCGTCTTAAGTTCCTTCAAAACTGCAACAGAGCGTGGTTTAGGGTCCATCGCCTACAGAGACCCGGCTTGTTGCATCACGCAGTGGGAAGGGCAGAGCAGCCGGATGCTCCCCGGCATGTAGCCGCATGTGTAACCACCTCGCACACCGAGGTGCGCGCTTGCATGGGAGGAAGCTCCCCCTTAGACCCGCAGAAAAGAAGAGAGGGAGAGAGGGAGAGCGAGAGAGAGAGACAGATAGAAGGAGAGAGCAGTAAGAATCAACAAAGATAAGACTGGATCCTGCTGCCCCCGCGCAGGGTCGCGGCGACATCGGCCTCGATCCGCAGATCGATGGCGACTGGGCAACTTTTAAGCGTGGGTCGGTCAAACGCGTGTGACAAGTCTGCAGGCGCCGGACGAGGAGTTTGGATCTCTTTTGTTTGGCATCGCTCTCTAGCTCCCTGCTATTGCCCTTCCTCTTGTTCTTGTTGTGGTGTTTGTTGCTCAGCTTTCTGTCATACCGCGACCTTCTAGATTCTAGCCGTTGAGGTCCGCAGCAAAACCTGCAGTATTGAGGTGAAGAAGGCACCAGACCCGAAACCCCTTCCTCAGAAGCGGGTTCCGAGGCTATTGGCTTTACAGTGGACGGTTCTGCATGTACGTGCTTCGCTCGTACGGTGTGGTGTACGCCGGCAGTGCCATTGTCCTGCCTTTTTGCAGCAATAACTGGTTCATTGTAGTAGCTTGAGAGGGAGGCCTCAGGCCGGTTCTCCTGGAAGCTCGCTTCTCAAGAGAGGATAGCCGTTTGGACCTTGATCCCATGTAGGCAGCTGCAATTCCTTCGTAGAGTGATCAACAATGATCAACATGCGCAACAAGTTTTATCCACATGCAGTCCAGTTGGAAGTGAGTTCTCCTCAGGAAAAGGTTGAGAAGCGTACGGGAGAAGCGACGCAACTGCAGGAAGGTGGTGGTCAACAATCCAATCTTCGCGTTGCCCCGACGTGACCCGCAGAATGTTTGGACCCTGAGGCGCATGCGAAGCTGTTATCATCCTTTGTGAGATCGCAAGACTTTCAAGCCAAGACTTCGTTTCGTGGAGTCGGGCTCCAGATCTTTGCTCTACCCGATGCCTGTGGGCAGTCTAGTCGCAGTTTTGTGACTACAGTTCCTCATGTCTCAATTCTATCTTTTGGGCAAAAGTGCTTCTGCAGGCTGCGGGGCACCACAGCTCCTCTGGCCGCAGCTACGACCGCCCCTCGCTCGCTTGGCAGTTCAATTCGGATTACAGCATGTCCATTTCCGGCTTCGCAGTTTAACTGGGGGTTGGGAGTACGCTCCTTGATTGAAACGCGATTTCAGGGTTGGCGTTATTCTCGAGTAAATTTGGAGCGTCGAAGGGACAAAAGGAAGTTGCGTGAATCTTGTGGGGTGGGGCTTCAGGACCAATGTCGTGGCTGGGTAGCGGAGGGTTGCTGTTGCGGAGTACCAGTCGTGGTCTGAGCCCAAAGCTTCAACTTGTGCCCTAAACCCGAAATCGCAAACTGGGCAGGATAGCTTGGGCAGACTCCACATCCCGGCTCGCCCAACTGCCATGAAGTAGAAATTGTCCTATTGGAGTAAGGGAGAACAGGAAATTCGGAAGGAAGAGCGGTTCTTGCATCAGTTGTCATCACAGTAGCAAGAATCGTTATGGTGGATTTGCAGCGCTCCCCTGCACGAGGTGACATCTGGTTGCAGAGAGCACCCTTGACCCTGTGCTCGATCGTCGAAAACTGGAGCCAATCAAACCCCGGAATCAACATCTTCGCATCGGGATGATTCTGTTCAATACTGACGCTGCTGAAAGTCAGCAGGCTCTGCCTCGAACTGGAGCACTTGCCGCTCTGGCGGATGTCTCCGAAAGGCGCGGAGGGGGAATTTGGCTATCTGTCACGAGTCGGCTTGAGCCTTGGAGATTATTCTGTAGAAACCGGTGTGATTTCGGGTCTGAGGCTTTTGCTCAAAGTTTGCCCTTCTTGCAAACCTTATACTGTTCCCCGACATTTTCGAGACTACAGGATGTCATTGCCCCAGCAGCTTCGTCAGCCACAGCGGTGAACTGGTCGTAGTGGCAGCACTGCAACCGGTGCAAGGAGTACGAATACCGATGCTGGCAATCAGATAGGTAAGCAGCTCTAAGCAGCACTTCTTGGGGCGGTACCTTGGGCTGAAGCCGAAGCCGAAGCAAACCAGAGATTAGCAGAGCTGAAATCTCTCCGAAAGCCCAAGTCATCCTGAGTACCATCGCCAGGCTGAGGAAGAATGTCCCGGTCCTCGGAGTGCTCAGAGGTCGGAGCACAAAATCTCGTCGACATAGAGCTCTGAACATCTGGCTGCCGTGTCCTACGGGAATGGCAGCATATCATGTGTCGTAACAACAAATCGCTTGAACAATTACATAGAAAGCGCCGTGCTGCAGGCCCGATTCTTGCAGTACGTCGTTCTTTGTGCCTGAAAAACACGGGCCTGTATTCCAACGCAATACATATATACATATATATATATATATAGATATGTAGATAAACGAATAAATGCATAAGCAAAGACATATTCGTATACATAAACGCATGTATGCATGTCTGCACGTCTGCATGTGGGCAGGCATGCAGGTCTGGCTGCGTGTCTGTCCGTCCGTCCGTCTCTCTGTCTGTCTGTCCCTGTGTCCGTCTGTGCATCCGCCCGTCCGTCCGTCGGTCTGTCCGTCTGTGTGTCTCTGTGTGTGTGTGTGCGCGTGTGTGCGTGTCTCTGGGCCTGTCCGTCTGCCTGCCTGTCTGTATATATGTATGTATGTAACAATATGGCACGTAATGTAGATAGATAGATAGATAGATAGATAGATAGACAGATAGATAGATAGACTAGGGGGTAGCTAAATAGACACACAGACATAAATAGATAGACAGATAGACAGATTGCTAGGTAGGTAGATAGACAAATAAACCGATAGATGGCTAGGTAGGTAGGTAGGTAGATAGATAGATAGATAGGTAAGGTAAATGATAGTTAGACAAACTTTGAGGGGCTGATGATGGGTACCGCGATGCAGCACCATCAAAACGCACAGACATAGAGTCGTCGGCGTCTTTCTCACTCCCCGTGCACATGTATATATGTATGTATGTATGTATGTATGTATGTATGCGTATATGTATGTATGTGTATGTCTTATTGTTGTTGGTGTTATGTTGATTCTTATTGTTATAATTACTGTGGTTATTGTTGTTAATAGACATATATATATATATATATATGTTATGATTGCTTTTGTTACTGCTAGTATGCTTGTTTTGGTTTCGGTAACTTTATTGCTAGTACTCTTTTGCTATATATCATACCATACAGTGATAGCCTATAAGATAGAACATCGCACATATTAGAGTTCTTATTGTTTAGATGTGTACAACACTACAAACACATGTATATATGTATATGTACACATACATACACTCACAGATACATTCACATATACAAACATACATACACATATACATACATACAGACAGGCAGACATACATACACACCTACATACACACATACATACACACATACATACTTGCATGCATGCATGCATGCATGCATGCATACATACACGCATACACATATACACACGGTATATACCCATATGTATCTACATGTGTGTCTGTATATATATATATATAGTTATACACATGTATGTAGGCATATATATATATATATATGTTTATGTCTGAAGATTGTATATATACACACACGTATGTACATGTACAAACGTATACACACATAATTACATGCATACAAACATCCATGCATGCATGTATGCATGCATACATGCATACATGCATACATGCATGCATACATACATGGAGGCGTGGTCTCCTGCCATACCTGTGCACTCATCCAAAGAGCTTGTCGTGCCCCAGCAGTGGCTTGTCTCTTCTGAGATTTGGCATGCCTCCATCTCCTCTGGTTCTAGAAGCCAGACTCCCAAAGCCACCTATCATAATCGCGAAATTTGGGAACTCATAGAAGATGTGGCAGTTTGTTGATAAACTGGAGCCTCTAAGCCTGTGCAGATGCCACGGTCACGCCTCAGTTCTTCGGAGCAGGCATCACCAGGTGACGCGGATGGGTTTAGCGCAGCTGGTAGAAAAAATGTGCGGTAAGCCAACCTTACACCCTAAAGCCCCAGCTAGAATCTTGTCGTAAATGTGATTAAGATAGGGTGCTTTCTAAGCAGGTGCTGTTGAAGGTATATTTTGCAAAGCTTGGCACAGCGCTCTTGTTTATCTCAGCCCCTGTGTTGAATCTCCTGCTGCATGTTGGTGTTATTCTGCGCTAGATTGGCATGTTGGTGCTGTTAAATCTAGAACACTGAGGCTAGAGAACAAGTGTCCGCTTTTTGTTCTCACGCCAGCCTGAACTCTTCTGTCTCCTTTTTTCAGCTTCGGAAAGCCGGATAACTTAATCCTGGACCGCGCCAAGACCCACATCAAAATCCTTGACCCCAGCTTACCCTCATCTAATCGACACGACCCAAACCCCGTGCACCTACATCCGAAACTCGGAATTTGCTGCAAAAGGAACTGGCTTTCCGTGTTTTTCACGGCCGAGCAGGGCGGGCCTGGCAACGGTGGATCAGTCGAGCTCCGGGTGCCTCAGGACCGTCGCTGGGGTTGGCGATATTCGCAGTGTTCATGCCAAAGCCTGAATTTTCACAGCAGTAGTAGTAGTAGTAGTAGTAGTAGTAGTAGCCGTCGTAGTGGTAGTACTGGAAATCGTAGTGGTAGTGGTAGTGGCAGTGCCTGTGCCGGTGCTAGTGGTAGTAGCAGTAGTAGTGGTCTGTTCTTCTTATGGTTTTTCGTCCGCTCAAGCTGTTAGCTGATGCAGAACAATAGTATGCAACGAATTAGCAGGGTTTCTCCAGACAAAGAGTCCTGCTGTGTGCTTCTTCTCGGTCAGGGCTTCAGCTTTCCGCCCAGCTGCCTCACCCAGCCACTGCCGGCTTACCACTATGCCCCTTGCATCTGTGAGTGGGCGCGCTGACCTGCGGAAGCCGCGTAGGCAACACCGAGGTCTATCGTTTCCCTTGAGGTTGTTTTGAGTCAGTGCTCGTCACCGCCTTCTTCTGCGTCGTTGTCATCATCATCACCATCACCACGGCCTCCGCTCATCATCACCTTGATCAGCAGTACCATCTTCCTCGTTTTCGGCAAGACTCCTGCCAAGGCCACGCCTTCTGCGCAGCTCGCTGGGACCGCTGCGCTGCGCTCCACTGTGCCCTTGGCTGTGCGGCGCTGCCGGGTCGGAGGCGAAGACCACAGAGGGAGAGTGCTGCGGTCATTATAAACGGAGGATACTAGCAACCTTCGATTCGGTTACAGCTGTTCTGCACACACACACATGCACCTCAAGCCCTTGCAAGAGGGAGAGCGGATGAGGGCAAGAGATGCAGTGTTTGCTGGAAGCTATGGTCCTCAGATCACATATTCCCACCTTGTTCGGACGAACCTGCACGCCACGAAAGGTTACCCCGGCGCGTCTCAGGTGTGAACCAAACTTCACAGGACACGCCCCTCCAAGGTTGCAACAGAACTCATTCAGCTGTCGTCAAGCCCGAAGCTTTCGAAAGGTGTGCCCAACATCGCTGAGGCGCGCCCAGGGCATGAACTTCAGTGTGGCATGCACACACCAGTGTCGCTCTTCGACATCCAACGCAGCTCCGAGGTGACGCTGCCCAGCAGTGCGCGGATTGTGCCTGCCTGAGATCTGGGAAGGCCAAAAATCGCGACTCTAGCAGAAGCAAGTCTTCTCGCTCAGCACCTCAGGCAGCTAGCAGCACCTACGGCTTCGAAATCCAAGTCTTCAATGCTGTGCAGAAGCCTGGCAACAAGTGCTTTGCTTCTCCCCTTCATCTCGATCGTCCCTTAAGCAAGAGCTTCTGAGGTACAGCGTCGCGCAGCAGGATGGATTTAGGCCATCCCACAGACTTGATCTACTGCGTTTTCGGAGCTCAAGCTTTCATGTCGTTGCATGGCCGCATCTTGCAGTTTGTGGCACAGATACGCATATAGACTTGGGAGTTGAGAGGCTGACGACTCGGAGTGCGGCAGGTGACGACATGGATGCCACTTGGCCTGCTTGGTTTTGGAGGGAGGGAGCGTTGATGTGCCAGAAATTCAGCTCAAGAAGACTTGCAGCTCTCGTCAGCTGCTGGATTTCCGGGTGCGGAGTTAGCACCAGCGAGGCGACGTATCACACCATCCGGTACATTGCCAGCGACACCGAAGGTCCTGGCACATCCTTCGGAGCTACTTGGTCGCAATCAGAAGCCTTCGCAGCGCATTGAAGCGAACATCTCACAGTTCATGTACGCACAGTATGCCGATGAAACTGCACAGGGAAAGACATACACGCGTTCCGGCATGTGTACATCGGCAGGTGCAAGGATGCAGGCAATGCGCATGCTCTGACGATGGCAAAGTCAGCATGTTCTCCTGTGACTGCAAAAGGGTCCAATGCCATGAAAAAAGTAGTTCCGATCTCCATGCTCCCCTTAGAGCTCGCTGTGGCCCCTTACCCCCTGATCGAAGCAGAGCTGGTGCGTCCCAAGCCAGGTCTATCAGGAGCCGATGCCCGCAGGCCGGGTGTTGGCCATCATGTGCCATGGTACCGGAACAGTCTGCCGGAGCAGGCTCCTTTGTTCTGTCCTTCGACAGCATGCTGCCATACTCGGAGAGTGGCTTAGCCACCCGAGTTGTCGTCTTCCCTTTGAAGGCGCCAATCTCAAGCATCGAAGTTGGGAGGACTTTCGGTACGGACTGTATAGGGTGCAGCACATTTCTGTGCCTGCGGCTGCAAGCCACCGATTCGGTCGCACGGCTGCCACGAGCTTTACAAAAGAAGAACCCCCAACATGTCATAACGGCAACAATCACCAATATGGTCATGCGCATAAGCATGGTGATGATCACGACGATCGTCGTCAACAGAAGTCTTGTAAGATGATCGCGATCACCACGTATGCACCTTGGTACAATTTGGTACAGCCAATTCGGTGTCATTGTCGCTTTTGCCCCTCGAGGTGCCCTTCGACTCTCTGGATCCGGTGACCTGGCGTCTGGTGGCACCGCTGGGCTTCATTTGGGCACCTGGTCAGAACCCGTCAGCCCCAAGACGAGTGTAACCACTGTGAACCCGAAGTTACTAAGCCTGAACGGGCGTGCAAGATTCACAAAGACAGGAGGGCCTGCCACATTCGGTGTGAGCGCATGATATATGTTGACGAGTGTATGACAGTACGTAGGTATTTATGTATCCAATCATTTACTGGTATGTCTGCATGTATAGATAGACGGACAGATAGACAGGCAGACAGACAGACACAGTAGTGTACCACTGAGATTCAGGTACGTAGGCCTGATTGGCATGGCCGGCAATATTGTTAGAATCAATTGTTGTGGGTGCACCTGGCAAATCGAAGCTCTGCGCCGTCCATAACAGGGACCGGCTCGGGATGTCCAGATTCGAGCGCGTGCAAAGTCTTGGATCTGGAGCCCAACTGGCCACAACTGCCTCCTCTGCATCAAAGTCGCGGTACCGCTTGCATAACATCGTCAAGTTCAGCATCGGAATCGCCACAAAGCATGCTGCATACTGCATTGTCTTTCGGCAAGGACTTCCGGCCGGCGGAGTTCTTGTATCGGCGGCAGGAGCGCAGCTGATACGGATGGGACTCAAGTTGAGCCAGCAAAGACAATGGCACGGCAGTCCTGCCAGAGCACATCAGAGCACTTTCTCGAAAAGGCCTTTGCTTGGTCGGACCGCCCTGACTGTCGTACTCGTAGAGACCCCAACGACAAGCTGTTGAAGCCGCAACAGCTAATGTCGAGCGGAGCCTGCGAAGAGAGCAGGACATCCTGGGCGTCACAGCCGATTTGCCACTGGACACAGCACCCGCCGCTCCCTCAACGGAGCCTTTGGCCATCCTGGCGGTGGTCGACAACTTCCAAGGAGCACCTGAGTTTCCGGATCCAAAGAGATTCCTCGTCTTTTGGCAGGGGTTTACTCATGGAGTGTGGGATCTCGGCTGCAGCTTGACAGATTTCGGTCTTTGACTGACAGTTTCTTCCAGAAAGACCCATGGCATGGCAGGAAACTGGGATCGCACGCAGACGTACGGCTTGGTGGCCAGGTGCCTCATTGGAGGTAATGTCAGCACCCAACACGGCCTGTAGTTCTTCATCGACAGGGCAGGAGTGTGAAGTTTCTAGGTACCATGTGCAGTCGTAGAAAATTTTCGAATCGATGCGTGCAGATAAGTTCTGTTTTGTTGGTTTGTGTTGAATATACTTCTGCCTGAGGAAAACGTGGGAAGTGAACCAATGGAAAAACGATGATTCGTTGGCAAGACCCCCGATAGCAACATACCAGTCTACCGCAAGTGTTGATTGTACTTTTCACTTTGTTTCACAAGCCTTGTTTCGTAGCACACCCGGTGCACTTGCTATTGTCATGGAGTACCCATCTTTCCGGTGCTCTGCGTGCTTTTGTTGCTGCAATCAATGTACTGCGCTGCTGCAATATACTGGAGGTCCGGAGTTTCTCATCAATTGACAGAACCAACTTTCATCGTTGCGAACATTCTCACATGATGGGAGAGCCATGGCGATTCACCTTGCATGGAGAATTTTACGACTCGTTCAGCAGCAGTGGACCATTGCATGTTCGCTAAGCCGCTAAGCAATGCTAAAGCCCTACGAACTTTGTGATGGAATAAATAAATACATAAATAAATGAATATAAATATAAATATAAATATAAATATAAATATAAATATAAATATATGTATATATATATATATATATATAGAGAGAGAGAGAGCTTACCCCCACGCAGAGTCCTGAAAGCTTGCAAAGAGTTCTGAAAGCCTGCTCCAGAAGACCTGGCAGGATCCGCGTGCCGGATGGCACACCGCTCGCCTCCAGTCCTCTGGCAGAGCATATGCGTTGCCGCAGCAGTCCACCAGGTCTCCAGACAGTGTCCCTGCTTCGGGAAGGTGGTAGAACTTCCCGGAGGGTGACTGAGAGGCTCAAGTCCAAGCCTAGCATCACGCTCTCAGGCAACGTCTTCCTGTTGGAGTTCGGCTACGATGCCACCACTGCAGTGGGGCGCCGGGCTGCAGCCAGCGCCCCCGCACCACAGGCCTGGTGCTGCGTAAATACCATAGAGTTACTAAACCACCACCGGCGGTACCTAGCCTCCGCACAGTTTGGCCATAGAACAGTTTCCATGCTTTTGCTGGCTTTGCTGCAGTGGGTTTCAGCTTTGAGAGCGTTTCTGCTCCCGTGGCCGTGGGGCATTTGGAGCGTGGTCAGGTCAGGGCCTTGGTGAACTTTCACGTGGACTACTTCCGCACTTCCCTGGCGGGACAGCAGCCACTGGGCCAATTCGAAGTTCTTCGGGCGTCAATCTGGGCTCCAGCGCTGTCCGACTCAGGAATGTTCTGATGATCCAGTTCCAGTCCATCACCGCTCTGCCGGTTGGTGGCAGCTTACTTCTGGATTCGCCCGCCGGCTTCGCGGTGGAGGTGAGCAGAGAGAGACGACGTGATGACCCAGCGATCAGTGTTTTCTGCCTCCAGGAGAGCTGCGCTCTGCAGGCTGCGGCCGTGGAGCTTCCGTACCAGGTTGCGGGAGTCCCGAAATCCCGGGCCGGGGGGCTGAAAGCCACAAAAAGGCGACTCTCCCACATGTCGGCCGCCCCAGCGCCCCAGCGGTGAATCTTCATACTAACAATTATTGCTTAAACGTGTTTCGGGGATTAACGTTAATGAGGTCTATAGGTGGTCCTCAGCCGACAAGGTAAATGAACCGAAAACAGTTCGGTTTAGCCTGCGGCTCGGTTCTCGGTTCGCTTTGTAGTTTCGGTTCGCATGGTTCCGGTCCACTGACCCGGTTCCTCGATTCGCAGATCGGTTCGCTCTGTTTCATGACAATGTGTTCTGGGGACTCGACATGCGCACCCATCAGAGCTCCATCCCCGCGCCAGAGTGCCTGCTTGCAGTCCCGCAGGACTTGGCTGCAACCAGCGCTGCTCTACTCTGCAGCGCTTTTGTCCCAGCCACAACACAACGGCCACAGGCTATCGAGCTCACGAACTGTGCAGATAGGGCCGCAAGCATGCCATTTGTCCATGACAAAGCCAGAACCTGAAGCCATTTTACAAATGCCTCAGTCAGCTATGTTTCCGCAGGTCACCCTCCGAGTGGTCACTGGCGAGGCTCAAGAGTTTTAGCTACCGCCTTCTCCTTCAAGAAATCCCGACCCGGGCCTTTCAGCCGTTTGGCAGGTATCGGCGGGGCCCTATGTCATGGCCTTGGCAGCCCGGAATCCCCTGGTGCCGGAGCTGGGAGGTAGCAGGGGAGAGCGGCAGAGTGACGGCAGAGGAAAGAGCGAGAACATGCAAGTGGTGTTTATGCATGCCTGCCATTTTTCTTTGCATCTACGTGCATGTCTGTGTTTGTGCACACCCTAAGGTGTTAGCACTTCTTGAGATAGTCATAAACTCGTGCATCATTGCAATGCAATGCATGTATGTTGGTATGCATGCATGCATTCCATTCAGTGTGAAGCAGTTGGATGTGTCCACGTGCCTCTGTGCACTGTAGCGCTACGCAGTCTGTTTTCATAGCGATCACTCATGTTTGGCCATTGTCGCCAGTGTTTGGTTTCGGTTGGCCCGGAAGCAGCAACAGCAGGTTCACACAGACAATGACTTGCGAGGCCTGGTGTGGCGACTTTCCAGCTACACAAATGCTGTCGATGCAGAGGTGCATTCGAAGCCTCATGGACGGAGCGATATTCTGCCAAACTGATGTAGGAGGAGACGTTTTTTTACATGTTTTGGACACTCATCCAGTAGGTGCAATATACAGCACTGCCAGTGTATTTTCTCGTTCGCGAATTGATCCTCAGCAGGTGGCAGATCTGGGCTCGACGGTGGAAGGCTGCTCATCTTCAAGCTGACCGGTAGCTCATGGTTCCAAGCTCAAAGTACAAAGACGAGGTCTCTTCACAGTTTGCTGCTGTTACTGCTCGAACGTAACGGCTACTGCTTGCGACGGCTTCTGCTCCACTTTCGTCCTGCCTCACAGGCCACTCTTGTTGCTGCTTCGTGGACTACTGTACCATCCTCCAGTGCTTCAGCTGCCACTACTGCTGCTGCCAAGGCGACGACCAGGACGACAACTACTGATAATTACCATTCCTATTTATTACCATGGCTGATACTATCAGTTCGTATTATGCCGACGACGATGGCGACTAATCCTGCCCTGCTGCTCCTGCAAGGCACTCGCAGGACTTGGCGTTGCAGACTACAGCTCGCAGGTTCAGCGCAATGCAGCAGCGGCTAGCGTCAGCCTTTCCATCATCATCATCATCTTCTTCTTCTTCTTCATCATCTTCATCATCATCATCATCGTCATCATCATCACCATCACCATCATCACCATCACCATCTCGGTCTCTCTCTCTCTCTCTGCCACTCGTGCATAATTTCGTAAGTTCAATCCTTCCGACCTGCCAGATGTGCGTATCTGCGATGGGGTCGTTCCGGGAACAGGTTCCCTGCCCAAAAGGAACCAGAGGAAGGGTTGCGTCGGTTGCGTGCCGGACTTGGAGTCGACCAGATTCTGCCCGAAGCCTCTCCGGCCTCTCCCCCATCCCACGCAAGAAGGCTTCCAAGTGGAGTCCATGATGAACTTTGGTGGCCTCCTGGGTCCCGTCTTTTGCTCAAATTCCAGAGCACTTGCAGGTGGTTCATAGGTCCAAGATTGTTCAAGGTTTGGGGAGGGGCGGGGGAAGGTTGGGGAGTGTAGGGTTGCATCACGTTGGCTGTTCCGGGCTGTTGGGGGACGGTACATGTGGCTTTGGATTGAGGATTCTAGGGCTTTGTAGTCCTCTTCGGCTTTCGAGTTTTTTCGTGGAGGTGGTTCGTGGCTGAGGACACCGACTTTCGCGGTGTTCTAGGTCTGGACTCCGTAGCTCGTTCTGCTTGGCATCGTGCCCATAGCTTTGTCTTAAAGTGTGCTGTTAAACTGTTATTGCGTGAGCTATATGCATGCATACACAGATGCGTACAAACATGCCCACGCACATGCGCACATACACACATGTACGACCGGCATAATCGCGACTTGCATGCATACATGCACACACACACACTTACATAAATGTACGTACATGCATGCATGCATGCATGCATACATACATACATACATACATACATACATACATACATACATTAAGATGTACCATTGTACAATACGTTTATTGTACATCAGCTATACAAGTCTGCTTCTCGAACAAGCTGGGTCATGGTAGATGCTTACAACACGTCTTGCTTTGCATGGCTGTGTGCTCCGAGCTTAGACTTTGGGTTGACAGAAATTATATGCAGCATTCTGGTTTGTTGCATATACGGCTCTTTTGAAGTTGTTGCACATTATACATCCTGTAATCATAGCTGCTGTTTTTATTGTATATACTTACATCTGTTGCTTCCTGCCAAGGACGCTAGAGGGAATGATTGTTAGGCTTGGGGCTGCCACCCACTCCCCAAGGCCTCGCAGGCCCCTTAATACTACGGTCAAGGCGAATGGAGTGGCATGCAATGTCAAGGAAGTCCGTAAGCCAATGGCATCTTGTCGGCTGGACAGTCCTTGTAGGCTCGTAGCAATCGTCGCGCATCTTGCGCTTGCTTTGAGCACTCGTTGAAACACTCGGATTCGGATTGTAGATGCTGAAGGTCTTCTTGTGCGGGGAAGAAAGAAGCTCCGACACTCCAACATGACAAGCTCTTGCCTGCAGCATAGGAAAGCGGAGTGAATCCTGCAACCACGGGACGCGACGATCACCCTGGCCAGGCCAGCTGCATGCTCCAGATCTGTTGCAACAAACGATTGGAACAGGGTCATCCAAAGCTTGGAACCTTGGCATCTGCATGAGTCGGTGCAGGTGACAAACGTCATTCTGGCCTTCGACGCTGGGCTTTCAGACGTTTAATGGCTCTTTCCAACCCAAGCGAGTGCTGCTCCGAGTGTCCAGAGCTTGGCGCCGCTGCGATCATCCACAGGCAGCTAGGCAACGCCAGCAATGAATCTTGTCTACTCTTCGGGCCTCGATTAGCCAAGGAGCTCGCATCCACGCCCACCAGTTCTGGCGAGTCGACGCTGACAGTCAAGGACGCTTCAGCGGACGGGGGACGATTACTTCCTGGGGAAATCTCACTCTCCAGGCGCCTACCGGCTTCAGCTTTCCGGCGCTCTGCACAGTGGTCGTGACGGGAGCTCCTTGCATATAGATTGTCGTCCGCGCGATTGAATGTGTCCGATCTGCTTCTCTAGTCGTCGCTAAGAGTTGCGGCGAGTTGCAGGCATCCGCGTTCAGATTTTGGGGGGTCTTTGCCTGCAGCAGGATTTATCGATCTTCCTAAGTTGGATGGCTTTTCTGGAGTCGTCTCTGCCCGGGGATGATCTTGAGAAGTGTTGCAGTACAAGTTGTCTCTAGCTTTATCTCTTTCCTGTGTGCTCGGTGTCCAACTTGAATTTCGGCGGCCACCAAGTATTGCAACATAACCAAGAGCTGGCGTGCAGCTTGTTCCGCGGGCCCGACCCAAAGGACCAGTATGAGATCCTCTCTGCAGCATGCTCTCACACAGGCCTGACAGTCCTAACAACGAAGACACGGCAGCATTTGACCACATTGCCTTTTACACCTGCTCTTCCACGTTAGTCTGCACCTATCAGCAAATAGCGGGTAGTCGTCGTGAATATCTTCATGGCGACACCACTACAAGCATGAAACGGAGAACAGCACAGCAATAGAAATAGTAGTAGCACCATCAACAGCAAAGTCAATATCCTCTCTCATCCTTCTTTTACAACCCTGGCCCATCCCCATGAAATTCCATCACAAGCGTGTCCCGCTTCCAGAGCCAAGGATGTCTTTGGAGCGGGCGCGCTGATCCCTCTGGCGTTCTCGGCTTTCGAGGCCTCTGCCGTCGTCAGCACCTGCGAAGGCTCGAGGAAGGGCTTCATGTGCAGGGCAGTCCAGGGGTTCAGGGCTTTCGGCCTTCAGACTTTGTTAGCTATTTTCGCAGGAGAAACGTGAATGATCGGTCGGTTGATGCTTGTTGGTGTCAGCACTGTCCAAAGTGCGAATCAGCGGTGCTCTCCATGCCGTAGAGGAGCCCGAGCACATCCGAGCACCATAGTGGGCTCCCTGGCCAGGTGGGGGCCGGACAGCGCGGCTTTCTGTGGCGCCTGGATTGATCCGAAACCGTCGCTGCCCGGCAGCGGAACCATGCTGCCTAACATATGGAGAGAACTGAGAGAACAGCACATACTAGTAGCATACAGTGGCTTATGCTAGAGTACACCTGGCATCTAGGTGAACTTTCGGCTAGAAGGCTATTGCAGCACAAGAATCTCTTCGGAGATCAACTCCTAATTGCATGTCTTGTTGTGAGGTCTGTCATGCCGAGCACAATAGCCGGGTCCAATCATCTTAAAATTTATAAGAACAGGCACTCGAAACCAAAAGCAAAGCAATTTGCAGCATCTTGGAGTACAGAGTTGAGCACAAGCCAGCACAAGAATCGAGCGCACGGTACAACAACGATTGTCAAGTTGCTTTGGTTGCTGACAGTCTAAGCAAGCTGCCGAGCCCTGATACAAAAAACGCTCATGGTGCACGCGAAGCAGGTTTAGTCCGCCTTTCGCAATAGGAAGATGCGTAACACAACCATCGGAAGCGCAAGAACAAGCACAATTAGCGCACAAGAAGCGACTTCAACAGCCACAATCCGAAGCACGCCGAAGCATACGAAAGCAATATCAAGCTTATCAGATTATCAAGAACGAAGGATCAGAGGCGGCGCATGTCATGCTTGTACGCGTTCTGTAAAGGAGAACGGTACCAGGAATCCGTGATCCCCACGCCACAACAAAGTGCAGAAAGGTTACGTGATGCGGCTTCAGGGCGTAAATGGCGAGGAGACAGCAGCTCCTTGGCTGTCAAGCGTTTCGGAGGGGCTTGAAGCATCCAAGCAGTGATCCGTCTTGTGGGATGTCTGTTCTAGAAGATTTCATCCAAGGGTAGGATTTCTTAGTGCCGCACCTCTCAGGAACAGAACCTCTGGACCATCAGCTTCGCGGGGGAAGCGACTGACGCTTGTCCTAGCAGGTTAATGCTGGCTCAGTAACCTGGCAGACCTGAGACTTCCCAGCCGAACCTTGAGGACATCAACTACCAAAAGCTTGAAGCCCCAAATTCATGAACCTACGACCTCACCCCATCTAGTGACTCTAGTGGCCTGTATCATTTGCCATGCCACCCGATCAGTTCACCCCAACACCTCGGAAGGAGCCCTTCGAGGGCTACCGGCTGTGGCGCTTCACTGAGGCTCGCATCTTCTTCGGAAGCCTTTTCAATTCTCTTGGGGTGTTCTTGGGTGGACCTTAGGCCTTAGGCTTTGATTACGAGCAAGACGTGAGGAGTCCTAACACTACCAGGTCGGACAGCGGAAGCATAGCTACGACCCACGTCGTGCGACGGAGGTACTACGCAATGCTGCTGACATGTGTTTGTGTTTGGGGTCGGAGGCTCTGACATGGAAGGAGACATCCAGGTTTGCAGCGGCAAGAACAGACCCTCCTTCGCAGGTTGCGGTGCTGCCAGACGCAACAGCGCGATCAACACCCGCCGAGGACTTCCGGATTCAGAAAAGTATGCAGCTGACATGCAAGTTTGTTGTGTTGACCGGCTTGCCATGTGATGAGAACCTCGGAAAGATGTACGGAATTAAGCAGCTAAGACGTACCGAACAGCATGCTGCAAGAGTGGCAGTAAAGTTTCAGTACGAGTGACATCATCGTAGTTGCATCTAAAGCATTACCTCTTGATCCCGGGCCTGCCTTCGATTCCCAGAAATTCAATCCGAGCTGGCAGCATTTCTCAGCCAGGGACGTGTCTTGAATTAAGGGTCAACGCAGAGGAGGCCTCGGCTTCTGTTCTAGGAGACACGCAACAACGTGACTCTGCGCTTCCGCACGACGAACGCGGTGACATCCGCCGGCTTCGTTGCACTTCAGGCACAAGCGAAGACACCCTGCCCCCGAAATCTCGAACTCAGATTTCGAACTTCAGCGCTTTGCAAGTGAGGGTCTCGCAGTCCTGTAGACTCTAGCTAAACTCTAGCACTAATTGCACCTGTGCCTGGAAACTGTCTCGGTTTGATTTTGACACTGTAAGGCACAGCGGCAGCGGCGCTTCACTATAGCTGCTGGATAGTGAAGCACTTTCCGGGAATCCCCATAAATGCCCATGAAGCCTCCTGTTGCGAGAGCAGATCAACTTTGATGCTGCGCGCACGTCCTGTGGCACTTGAGCAGCGGTGTCACCATGTTGCAGGCACCTTTCGGCTATGTTTTCCCCACGATTTGCCAAGCCACGTTGCGGCTGTGCTGATACTAGTTGCACCTTGTGGAGCAGCGCTCATCGTATTTCGGGCTCAAGTGATTAAGCATGCTTGCGTGGCACTTGAAGATCAGAGCTGTCTGTTCACGCTTTGAGGCAAGAGTTGGACGCCACGGACACCCCGATCGCTGGCTCTGGAGTCGTTTCCTGCAGTGGCGGACCGGGCTGCACTCTTGGTGCTGAATTTTGGATTAGGGCGAGGGCTCCTCTCTGCAGTGTTCGTCCCGAAGCCACAAGCCCAAACGTCTTTGTTTGGCTTGCAACATCGTTTTCCAAGGCACGCCCCTCCCGGGACCGACGGCAGCCCTCCACCCTGTCACTCGACACGCTTGGGCCATGTACCTACATCTACACGCTACCATTCCCTCCACCAGGACTGAATTAGAATTGCAAGACTCACTAACTCGCTGCACATATTATGTCCGCACAATAAGAGAACTCGCAGATAGCAAGACAAGTGTGTGCGTCGGTGTACGTATATGTACATATGGCTACACCCCCCGGATGTACCTAGCCGTTTGGTGTGCTTATACCACCAGAATATATCTGCAGAACTTCATGTTCAGAGGTGCTGACCACAGCCACTAGACATTTTGCGATGCATGTGTTATTGCTTCTGCTAGCACAAATATCCTGTAATGCGTTGAATGTGTCATGTTCTTATTCTGCCTATACCTAATAAATAATGCTCAAGCCACACAAGAGGCAGCATACTCATGAACACCAATGTCCAGTTAAGTGAGTTTAAATGTTAATGTGTTCTTCGGTAGTGACTACCGCTGACTTCATCGAGAACGACATAGCAAAAACGCGCAGCCGCGGACCAAGTATTCGCGAGCGACCAAATCATGAAATGCTCTTTGCATAACTTCAACAGTTAAACAGTACGTAAATAGTCGCATACTGTGCACCCACTGGTGGATATTTAACAAAATGACAAAGGCATTGGGATAGACATCAAAGAAGTATGAGTATTGTCTAACACAGGCTTGCTATGAAGTAGTAGCTAAAGAGTACATAGACGGTGGCTCTGTGCGAAGGATACGCGACTTTCGAAATGCATTATACTTTTAATCGAGCACTTATTAATGAAGCACTGCTTGAATACCGGTCATATATGACCGAGTACTGACTAAGATCATCACGAACAGGCTGCTTTAGCGTTTACAGGGTACCGACTACAGTTGAGCCATGACAATGTGTTACTGCAATATCAGAAAGATTTCAGCTGTATATTAGACATTGCTTGAGGTTTATGCGAGCATAAAACGTTGCCCTATGTGACCGTCAAAGGTTACACATAGTCACATAATTGTCTATACTGAGCATAATTTAGGTATCGAGATTTTCATACATGTATTGTGCATTGCATTGTTGCCGGGCCCGTGTCCCAACACCAACTTCAAGATGGAATCCACAATGTCAACGTCGTGAGGCGGATTGTTCCGCGTCGAAAGAAGTCATGGCGCTAAAATGACTGACGAAGAGCAAAGAGCAGACTCAGTTCGGCTTTGACTTCCAACGAAGCGGAACATAGTCGCGAGCAATCAAGACTAGCGAAGCTTACTTGCCGTGATAAATGTCTGACGAGTATGATATGAAACCGTGTGCATACTGGTGCTTGCAGTGTTGTCAGCTTAATGTATGCGCATGTGAATGTGTTTCGCATGTTTCGTGCGCTGTGCGTGTGTGGCTGTTATCCTTCGGTCCACTTCTTTCCGCTGAGGCGTAAGCCTACAGCAAGCTTGGCTTGCATCGGTCTTTCCAACCGTTCAAGCTATGTGCTTGCCCTGTTTCTGTCTTTGTCCAATGCTTCGGGCTCTGATGTTTCAAGCTATGAATGTGCCAATTTTATTAGGGTTTCCAATGTTTCAAGCTCTGCGTGTCCGTTTTTTACTGGTTTTTCCAATGCCTCCGATGAGTCAGTTGAAAACCAGTACCAACGAATACAGGAACCATTATTTTCAATCTATCCCGTCTGGGTAATGTCACGCCTCTAGATGAACTTCGCAATCATGAGATTGTGTTTTGTGCTGGCTTTTACAATCTTTCCTCTGAGTCAGAAGCAGAAAACCTTGGAAACGGCCACAGAAGCCATAATGACCATGATTTTCCGACTATCCTGTCTGGGTGGGGTTTTGCGGTCCTAGAGGCATATAGACGACGACAACACACGGAGCATGCACTCTAATCGGAAGCCTTGAAAATACCAGTAAAAACCCAGAAGCTCGACTCGAAAAGTTCGTAAACCAAGAAAAGCAATGATATTCAACACATCTGCAGGCTTAACTTGAGCAGGGATACACTGCAAAAACACACAATCGAAAAACACAATAAAAAGTCACACGGTGCAAAAAGCATTGGAGACCCAATAACAATGGCACATACGGTCCCCAATACATTGGAAAACCCAATAACAGTGGCACACGCACGGAGCCCAAGGCATAGGAAAAAACCAATACGATGAAACCCATGGAGCCTAAAACCTTGCAAACGCCAACACCAGCCATGAACATCTTGATTTTCAGACCATCTGGAAGCGCAACAATAGAAGCTCCCAGCACACCAATGAACGCCAGGGCAGGAAAGGCAAGAAAAAGGCACATTCGGGGGGGCACCATGCGTATGTATGTCTAGACTTCACATGTGCGTGTGTATATGTACATATAGATACTTGTTTATTTATGTGTGTGTGTGTGTGTGATTTGGTTCCTTTGGAGCCAATCGGTCTTCACCTTTCCAGGTCGGGTCATCCACGCTCGCGGCATTGGCGAAATACCAACTGAGCCTTAGTCGGGCTTCAGGTGACTTCGACATCGTTGAACCATTGTTACTGTAAGCGCATTTTTCGATTTGCTCCGACTGTCGTGATCCTTATCCCAGGCCAGGGAGGCAGAAGAGTGGCAGTCAGAAGTATTGAGAAGAGGAAGTGAGCTCAGGAACGTGGTCGTTCAGAATCCCACTGTCATCGCCTTGGAGGCACGACCGCTCCTCGGGGCAGTGAATGCACATGCTCTTGGCTCCGCTGCGTTTCTGGGAAGGCCGGGACATGGCAGATTCAAAGCTACGCCACGAAGGAGGCAAGTGGTGGGAACTGTATATGAGCCATGGCATACTGGATCATGCATGTCACGTTGGCTTCCGCAAAGTTTCAACGTTGGGTTCGGCACCTTCCCAATCCTGCGACAGGCCGACTACAGCAACCTCCTGGACATTGGCCACCTGCCTTAGAATGTAGCAATCTGCTGGAGCATATGCAGGCCCAGCCAACGAAACCTTATGATATTATAGGGAGCTCGTTCCCTAGGTGAGGCTCCTGGCTTTCACCTCACCGAAGTCTTCCACACCCTTCGGGTGTCGAGCCGAGTCAGGGGGGAGGGCGGCTTGCAAAGGCTTCAGGCTTCAACGCAGCAGGCAGTGCAAAGGAAGAGTCGTGATGCACATGCTTGTGCTGATGGAGCAAAAGCCCGTGACCCAAGAGCTTCTCTGGCAGAGCATCTGCGACTCGTTCTCTCCAGATCATCTACCCTGTTGCCACGCCTTCCACGATTGACGAGCTGGAGCTTAGAATGCTTCTCGGCTTAGCCCAGGACCAGACCCAGCCTCGATCTCTGAGCTCCCCTCAGGCAGATCCTCCTCTCCACCTCGCTGGAGATCGGCGACGTCCTAGAGATCGTAGCCCCCGACGGCTACGATGTCACCGGCCGCGTGGACTTTCAGTTCGACAACGTTAGGTTTTTTATCTCCTGAAAGCTGCTCTTTCTAGGGTGTGAGAGGAAACCCTGCTGAATGCAGAACAACCACCTTGCTGAGGGGCCGAAGCTTTCAACTTGGGCCAAGCACATGGTCAATTGCAGCAACATGAACTTGGGCAGCTAGCATGGACGAAGGGCCCTTGGAGCCCCTTTTCTCCTGTTGCAAGGCAACAGCACGTCTGAGTTCGACAACCTTCAGAGAGCATGCAACAAGTTCCGCCAGTGGCACCATGGCGGGCAATGTTGTACACTTGTATACTGTGCCTTTTTCTCCATACGCTGGGGTTCAGTATTGACGGTGTTGGAAGATGGCGTCGGATATACCGGAAGAGCAAGAGGGATATCACAAATCCTGACTTGAATAGCACCGCGCTCTGAGCTCCACATCCGAGTCCAGATCGGTGAGCCAAGCCTTTGCAGGTATGCACTGGGGGTTTGATAAATAGTATGCCAGTGTAAGCAGGCGCCACCTTACCACATGAGTTGCAGCTCGCATCCGATTCTATAGCAGATGCACTGGAACGTCTAGACTTGCGTACTTTTAGTCTTCCAGGGGTCGCGACAGTCCAGAAGTGCATGTAAATGTATAAGTAAGTATATATATATGTATATATATATATACATACATATATATATATATATACATACATATGTATGAACAAAACGCGTGCGTATAGGCATATATATATATATATATGTATGTATATATATATATATAGATGCACATGTATTTGCTTACGTGTTCATTTGTTTAGCTTTTGTAGCAGTTTATGGATAAGCATGTACTTAATCTATCGTGTGTCTTTCGGTCAGCCCATCTATCAATCTGTTTACATGTTCATCTATCTATCTGCCTATCTGTCTACCTCTATAGAGTATAGATAAGTTAAGTACGTACATATATATATATATATATATATATATAATTATACATGATACATTTCTATGTCACGAATTCTGGCTCCTTTAGGCTTGCCGCGGTTGCTGTTTACAGGTTTGGTCTTGGATCAAATGCGTGTTAAGGGCGCCCTTACTCCGAATTTATCAGGGATCTGGGTGTCGACCGGAGGGCGGGTCCCCCTCTGCCCCCACCTTCCCTGATCAATTCGGATGGCTCCTGTCTCGATAAGTTGTGGGGAGGGGGTGGGCCTTCCTCTTTCAGAGGTCAGTGCAACAGACAACAGTTCGCCATTGTTCGGCAACACAGCCACAGAGGACATGACCGCAGTCTTGTCCACCGTAAGCTTCTTTTCCGTCCTCGCTGACAAGCATAAGCATGGACAAGTTTGCAAAAGGGTGGAAAACATGTAGCGGCGTAGGGGAAAGCTTAGCGGTTGCTTCTTGCGTTGGGGAACGAGCTTTTGCCATGTGTCGTTCGGTGCAGGCTTGGGGTTTATGACAACACATGCGAACTCAATTTCTCTTAATTGGAATGCAGCTTGCCTACCAGTTCGCGACAGCGTACAAGGAGCACTGCATCAGTCACAGTCGCTTACGTCCTGCTTTCTTCCGTCTGCTCCGCTCTACACGAGGTGTGTGCATAGATATATGTGTATAAAAAACCTCCCTACCTACCTACCTACCTACCTACCTACCTACCTACCTACATACATACATACATACATACAGATAGATAGATCGGCAGATATATACAGAGATACTTAGATACATAGGTACATAGATACATCTAGATTAATAGAATTGGTAGCTAGATAGATTTAGATAGCTAGGTAGATAAATAGATAGATAGATAGCTCGATAGATCGTTGGATCGGTAGATCGATAGATCGATCGATAGATAGATAGACTGCACATATATGATAATATATGCGCATCATATTCATGCTGGCAGGAAAAGATGGAAGAGCTAGACTGGGTCTCGAAGCGGTAGTCATAGTGGTAGCAGGCCGGCAGGGCTTCATAGTAGTCAGCAATGGACTGGCCCGAGGAGCTAGCACCGAATTTGAGGGTTTAGAGCTTATAGGGTTTAGGGTTTCGGAATCAACTCTGCAGGTCAGCAGCTGCGCTGCCGAAACCTACTTGCAACGTCCGGGTCGTGCACTTCGAGTTCGCCACCACAGGTGGGCCCCATGGTCAGAGTTTAGGATTCAGGTTTGGGGAGTTTCCAGGTCTTCATTTCGGGGCCCTGAACATATAGCTCCACAGAACACCTTTGCCCCGGTCAGTGCAGCGTGACAGTCGCGACAACGGCTAGACGGCAAGGACCCCTTTGTCCTACAAACGACTAAGACCCTGTCCAACGTCAAACTTGGGTACTGGGTCGGGCTGCAAACGAAGCGGTAGCTATATCGCTTTTTGACTAGCTGGCCGCTGACATCGTCAAGAGAGGCATCAGCTGCTGTGGCCAGAAAGTGGCACACGGAACTTTCCACGGCACCACTTTCCCGGTCCAGGCCTGGCCGTTGTCGACGTCCCTGGCGCCCAGGCCCTAACGCCTCTGATGGACTTCAGTGCCCCTGGGATGCTTCAAGACTTGTCCAATCAGCGAGAGTTCGGGGGCGGTTCTTAGCCAAAACCAGCAGACATTGATCCAAGTGCTGGAGAGTGTCCACAATAATGCGGACGGAACAAGAGCTTTCCATTGAAAATTGAAGCCTTGGGCTGACAAGCTTTCATATAGCTGTGTAAAAATTCCTGTGCCCGGGTCTTGGGTAGCAGTTTGGACTGATGAGGCTTCTGCCATATGATATGTTTTCGTTTATCAGTGTCTAGGTGTTCTTTCTTTTTTCTCGCTCTCTCTCTCTCTCTCGGTCTCTGTCTGCCGCATCTGTCTCAGCATGTGTGCGGTATTGTTCGGTCTTGTGTCGCAGGTCTTCACGATATGTTGAGGACTCAAGAGCTGTAGGCGTCTTCGCTTCGGATGAGCTTGGAAGCTATGGCCTTGAGCCAGAACTGTCACAGCCTTGCTCTTTAAAGCACACTGGACGGAGCCCTGTCCCAGGTGACATCTTTGTACCCACGGAAGACGCTCAGTGTTCAGGCTTGGTGGATTCCAGCACTGAGTTAGGGGTATGGCTGACAAGAGCTCCCGAAATCCAACAAGGGGGCGCAGGGTCGGCATCGATATTCGTTGGTTAGGACTTCGCGTCCCCGAGGCTTGTGTGCATCTCGGATGCTCCGTTTCTTCGTCAGGCCACCACGTTCCACGGCGAGCAACGACGGGGCAGCGCTGTGGTCTCTGCCAAGACGGTGCGAGCAGGGTTTCGGTTTCGCATGTCTGTATAGGGCTGCCTTCTGTATCGAAGCTGAAGCTTTGACAGGTGCCGGGGCAGCTGGTGACTCCACGGCTGCTGGAGATCTCGGTTGCGCAGTCGGAGTACAGAACTTTGCTTGAGGATGTATCGGCTTTCAGTGAACGCGGGAATTCAGGATGAGAAGGGGTGCACAACAATCATGTTATCCCAGATGCTTGCCCTTAGTCAACGCAACCAAGCCCCGAAGTTCCCAAGCTTTCGGCGTGGCCAGAGGGATTTCGAGACGGGGCTGCCGGAACATGCGCCTATGAAGTGAAAAAGAGTCACAGACCGTGTTGCAAAGCAAGCAGGCTTCGCTCGGCTTCATCCCAACAGCCAATGAGCAGCGACAGGAGTTGTTAAGTTGTTGAGACAGTTCAATACGATCAATGTGGCCTGAGGATCCGCGACGAAAAGTCCTGGATCTGAGAAGATCTGCTAAAGACAGCACGGGAAACTCTGAAATCGTTTCCGCGCCCCGCACTCCCTCGTTGCCAGGTTGTCCGTGCCGATGCCTTCGTGGCTGTCCAAAGCCTCGCGTCACTGCAGCTGACCTTCCGCGTGAGCGGCACGGCCAAATCACGCGGCGGGGTCGTCGGGTCGTCCTCTTGAGTGTTTGCATGGGCAAGCGCCTTAGCAAAGCGATATCCCAGGTCAGGATGCGCAGGCGCTGCACATCACCACGGAAGTCCAGGACGAGAAAGACAACATCTTCGACAGTTCTAGCGCCTGAAGAGCCTCGTGCTGTCGTGCCAGAATGTGCCAGATGCACAGGACGCTGCAAGCCAAGCCGAGCCCTTGCGCTTCGACTTTGCTGCCGCCTCTGCGATCGCCGTGGGCACGGAGGCCACGAACACTCCTGAGTCTGGTTTGCCACTGTCGGGCCCTGGGTCAATTTCGAGTTGCAGGTGAGCCAAGTGATTCGGAGAAACGCATCGCTTCTCTTGCACATGGCGCTGGAGCATCTCGGGCTGAAGCGAGTCGGACTAGCAATCACCCGTAGCTGTACAGTGACGAGCCTGGGCAGGGCAGGAAGTAGCTGACGCTTGCGACGAAGTTTCGGTAGGAATCTCGGTGCTGCATGGTCCAGCATGGTCCAGGCAGGGACGTGGCTACAGCTTGACGCTCGGATCAGTTGCAAACCCTTCCACGCCGGGGACAGCATTGTGGACACTGACGAGCTACGTGCCCTGGTAATTCATCCGTGAGCTACAGGTAGAGACAGCAAAGCCTGTGCCAGAAGTGTGCCAGCAAAAGCTTGAGCCTCTGCATGGCAGGTACTGGCAGAGGACGGCTCCCTGGACTTGGCTGATCCGCGGGACAGGCGCCGATCGAGGGAGGAGGAAAAGTTTGGTGTTCGAGTTGGAGGGAAGGTCGTCCTGTTTTTGGGATGTTCACTATTGGAAAGTTGGGTCGTGTGGGACCCGTTCGCATCCGCTTCCGATGTTGGGGGCGTAGCCCAAGCGTGTGTTTGTTGCTTGCGACAGGTGGTGAGCCTCTGCGGACTATAAATGGCTATATTATTTAATGCGGAATGTCCAACGAACGCGCGCCTCCTCCGCTCAGGTCGGTCAACTTCGCGGGGCCTGCTGCTCGTCTGCAGAAGAGAGCTCTGGTTTGGCTTGGTCGCAGATTTTGACAGTAAGCTGTAGTATCAGGTGGCTTGATGATGACATGTGTCGAACGGTGCAAGCATCCATGCTGCAGGTGACGCTCAATCGCTTGAGCATCGATCCTTCGTCTACAAGTCTCACTGATCCTTTCTTCGACGCTTAGCCGGGATTGAAGGCAGGGTCAACTCTGCAAGTCCAGGAGAAATCTCCAAGAACCCAGGATATCGTCAATACGGAGCTGAGCCTGTCTTTCGTGGCCTTTCCTCGTGTAGTGACTGCTGGGTGGCGGCCTCAGCTTTGCCAGCAGTTCGTGGGCTGTGAATCAGTCATGCAGGCGAAACAAATCATGCTCACTGACTTGCAACCTGCAATTTCACAGCTTTCCTGATACGTACATTGACAGGTGGCGCCGTTCAAATCTTGAGGTGAAGGCTGTAAACCCAAACGGGTGTGACGTTACAGGATGGGACGCATTGAGCAAAGACGCCGGCTGTCGGGTGTTGGCCCTCGAGGCAATACCTCGTCCTATCCGCCCCGGCCGACTTCGCCTTCCTCGAGAAGAGCTTCAGCCCAGGAGAAGGCGTGGAGCAACCGCGATGGTCACAAACGACTGAGCCTGCTCACTCGTGGTGAGCAAAAGCTGGAGCTCAAGTAGCTGCAGCAAGCATGCACCAAACAGATAGTGCCAGAGAGAGGCATACCTACTGCACCTAGCCTGTAAGTCCGGGCATCTGCTGTCACTCCTGGCGAGGATTCCCATTGATCTCTGGGCAAGTGGCAGTTGTCGAGCTGGAGGGTAGCCGGCCCAGTCCTTTGGCAGCATCTGCTCTGCAAGAGAAGTCGCCGAAGACGGGCCCGGGCCGGACTCAAGGACACTCTGGCAGGGGAGGCTCCGGGCAGCTGAGAGCAGGGCTTGGCTCAGGCTCCATTTTTAGCGGAATCCAGCGCCAGGTCCTGTGTGGCTCTGAAGCAATGTGGAAGCAGTCGGAGCGTTTAAGCCGCCCTACGCAGCGAGGCTATGCCGTTCAGATCCTTTCGCCGATCCTGCCAAGCGCCTGGGCTGGACACGGCAAAAAGAGGGCCTAAAGAAAGTCTTTTCGTAAAGGTGGGGGGAGGCGATCTATGCCAATTCAATTGTCGGCCAGAAGGTTTGGACAGGACTGGCGGCTAAAGGCTCACAACAGAACGCAAAGCCGCTAAGGGTATCTGTTCTGCACTGTCCGTGTAAGGCCAAGCCGTGAAGTTCTCGGTCAGGCCGGGCGTTTCAAGACGAGCGCTTTCTTTCTGTTTCATGGGGGCCGGCTTCGGATGGCTCTGTGTGCTGAGAATCTATGTTCTCACTTGGGGACAGATTGTCAGCTCTGTGTGGCAGCTCTGCTGTGCACGTGCTATCGCGAAGCAGGAGAGCTCTTTCCCACCAAGGGCCCTTTATGTCAGACAGCCCTGCCCTGCCTGGCCCCCTGCTGCGAAAACCAAGTATGTTGTGCCACCCGTCAAACAGCAGGCTCAGGACGCCAACAGCGCCCGAGGATCTGCAGCTTGGCTTACATGGCCGGGAGGTGTATCCGGCCCGGGCCAGTTGTCTCATTTCCTCAACGTGACCTGCGGAAGCACGCGGAATCTTCCTGAGATGCTTGTTGCTCGAAATGGGGGGCGTGCAAGAAACGGATAGAACCAAAGTCGATGAGGGTTCCGATCACTCCTCGGGTGATCTTTGCTCCTCCGCTCTCTTCTAGCGCTTTGCACCCATATACTGTACAGTCAAGGAGCCTCTGGGCGACGACGCACCGCTCCAACCTGCTTCTGCGGGCATGCCGCGACTCGCAATGCCAGGCCTCTGCCCTGACATGTGACAGCGATTTAATCAAAGCCCGGGCTCAAGAAGCATTCTCGATCAAGGCTTCTTTTGTTTTCCCAGATTGTCGACGGATGGGGTTCTGCGAGTTTGGGCACGTGCAGCCAGAGCTGGTCCGGTATGGTTGAGACACACGGCGCACACCCTTGTATTCAGCTAACGTCCCTCTGCGTTGCAACGTTAGGGCTGCATGCGCGAATCACTGCATGTGGAGGTTTGGGCTTGGTGGGAGCCGAAGATGCTCATGCTGTGCGTAGCCCACAAAGCTTCAAAGCAACAACTTGCATCAGCAAGATTGTCAGGGCATGTTCCAGTGTGGCCGTACATGCTGTCCAGAGGGTAACGGTTGCCATGCAAGTCGCTCGCGATTGCAGGACCCCACTGCCAGCAACGACGACCTTTTTCCAGGCGTGTGGAATGCCGGTGGTGAGGTGAGTGGTTGTGGGAGCTTGACGTATACGGACCTTAGGATGGATGTAAGAGCGGACACGCGCCCGTAGAGCCGAAGTGATCGTGCCGGGCCATCGAATGGAACTGCTGGATCATCGGTATTGGATCCTCGCGCGGGCCCGGCCCTTTGCCAGTGTCTGGCAGTGCTGTCACATCGCATGTGAGAAAACGCTCAAATCTCAAAGCACTTCCGCCTAAGTGTCAGCCTGATTGTTTCGATTCAGCACGAGGCTTCGAGATGAAGGCGTCCTTCGGGACTGCGAGTATCACGCCCCAGGCCGCGCATGTTCGGAATCTGACCGAGCCTTGAAAAGGCTTCCGCTAGTTAGGGACCAGCGGCTGCATTTTTCTGCTTGCGTTCCAAGAGGTCGACTCTAACTGATCTCCTCTCTCTCCTAGCAGCATGGGCACGGCGGCGTTTGCCGCGGTCATTCCGTCCAGTCAGCACGACCTGGCCTGCACGCACATACATGCATGCAGGCATGCATGCGCACTTATACAGGTATGTGTACAGTTTATATAACGTTGTGTGTATATATATATATCTATATATATATATGCATATCTTATATTCATATAGTTTGTACATATAGATTTAGAGAGAGAGCGAGAGAGACAGAATGTTTATATATATATATATATACACAATACACTGATAATTGTAAAATATTTCCTTACATAGGTTGCAACGTCATGACAGCGCAGACTGATGGGGAGCCCACGCCAAACCAAAGGGTTTGTTCAATCATCAAGTTGACCCACGCTTAAGAGCCCCGACATGCATACCGTGGCAGGCGAACGGCGCAGCGCCGCAGCTGGATGTGACAGTGACGCTGAGGATCAGCCCCAAAGTGCCTTTGATTGACAGGAGGCCATGCACGCATATGTACTCCATTTTGGCCCCAATCTTGTTTCGAAGTTCGTTGTCTGCACGCATCCGGTCATGATTTCCAGATCATGCCGTAGCTAATGCGACCGGCCATCGGGAGGGACCCATCATCCGGGTCACCTCAGGCGACTCTGGCGTCTCTGATCGAGAGCGGCACCGTGCATTTGCGGATTCGTATCTTGGCTAGAGGGACAGAAAGCACCAGAGAGAGAGAGCGAGAGAGAAAGAGAGAGAGAGAGAGAGAAAAAAAAAAACATGTCTTTCTCCTAGCCCCCAAAGGCCCTTACACAGGGGCGCGCGTTGCGGCGCGGGGAGCCTCACCAGCTCCTCGAACCCCGGAGAACAGAACAGAACAGAGAAACAAAAACAGAGAGAGAGAGAGAGCCATTGGGGCTCGCCAGGCACGCTCCATAGCATGGCACTGTGTGCAAATCCGTGCTTGAATGCTATTGAGCCACCGCACGTAACCTTTACACTCTGCGCAGCCTTCTGTATTGCATGGAAGTTCGTGAACAGCGTTGGTACATGTTGATGACATCGTTAAACGTATGCTTGCAAGCTCCGAGATTCGACTGCAAGAGCCATGCAAAGCCAACGGCGTATTTGGCAACGGACAGCGTAATCTGCAGTCTACGAACAGAATCTTTCCTTGAGTCGTCTCCAAGTCGTGAAAGCTTGACTACTCTGATGTCAGCTGACGGAGCCGTGAAGAAGTGAAGACGGGACAATCATGCTTCATGGACAGCCAGAGCTACAAGGGCTTTCCTTGATACGCCCCTTGCCATGAAAGAGCCGACAGAAGATCGCCGCCCCCACAAGTGAAGAGTCATCATGGCCCGGCGCATTCGAGTGTCGCTGCTAAGCGGCAGCTGCGTGACGCTGGAGCCACTTAGCTTCATGATGGACAATGTCAGCACCGTTTGCGTAAGACATAAATCCACACAAATCATCCGATGGTTCGCAGCACTACAAGACTGCGAGAACCTGTTGGAAAGGTTTTGCCCAAGTGCTGGTAGGGCAGCACGGGAAATCAGGAAGCACGGGCTTGACTTGATACCTGCGAAGTGCTTCCATCGAGGGTCAGCGGAAGGCAATGCAAGGCAATGCCCGGAGCACCTACCGAAGCTCCAAACAGAGATCAGCCCGTCAAGTATCACTGGCAGTGCCTGGCAGGGTGGAGGAGCACTCCACGATTTCAGAGCTCCGTGCAAAAGCAGAACAGGAGTTTAGGGATCAGACCCTCGGCTTTGATGTACTGCTCGAGCCTGGTGATGCTTTGCTCCTTTTGGAGGGTAAAGTGCTTCCATGCAGAAGTCGTGGCTTTTTTGTCTGCCATTGCTAAATTTTGGCAGCGAGGACCCCCAAGACCGAGCTAAGACAAGATTCAGGATGAAGAGATGATGAGAAGCTTTGCCAGGAAGTTGCTGGATCCCGCTGCCCACCTACGATGGCTGGTCAGTGCTGCCGGCCTCCGGCTCCCATTCGTCCGGGGCCCAGAGGAGGTCGAGGAGGGGCCCAGAGGGCTTCGCGAGATGTGAACTGCCACGGTAGGAAGTGGGAGCTGCACTGAAAGCTGGCACTCCTGTGGTCATCAGTTCCATTTCTGTTGTTGCTCCCGTCACTACAGCCGGCTGCAGGGACCGTTGGCCAGGATAAAATAGCAGATTTGATATCAACAACTACAATAAATACGCAACAGTATGAAATACATCTTACTGCCTGAAGCTTCGGATCCTATCGTGGTACAGGCAGAGACGCTCGGAGATCTCAGTTTCGGGGACGAGGACTGCAAGCCGTAGCCGGCGTCGTCGTCGTCGTCGTCGTCGTCGTTATGGTCGCCTCGTCGCCGTGGGGACCAGGGGTAGCAGCAGTCGCAGGAGTAGTAGTCGTCGTCGCAGAGTATCCTTAGCTCCACCAATGTCAGCATCCAAATTTGTTGCTACAAAGATGCTAGACATACTTAATCATTGGCACAACAGGCCCGCAGGGGCCAGCACACGACATTGTTTTTACGAGATACAATGCTACCATCGTCACGTTGGTGATGATAGTGATGCTGTTTCGCGAACTTTGATGCGTTAGACTTTCCAGATCTTGCAATCGACTCGTGCACAGGAGACCTTGACGGGTGTTACGAAGAGAAATCGAACGGTGTCGGCGCTGCAGTACTTCCCGAAGTGTCGGCCCACTGTGCAGCTTCCACACGTCTGTCTTTACTTGCCATGGCCGAAGTCTTCAGTATTATTTAGTTGCAGCTGCAACAACCTATCTGACGCCGAAGCGGGGGTTGGAAGCAACGTAGCGGGCCCAGATGCGCGCCCAGTCAAGGGTGTTGCATGGAAATGAACTCCAACAAAGCGCAGTGCGTGCAAGAACTATCTCTCGCCAACAATACGGATCTGCTGGAAGACATACATGTTATGATCATGAGATGCCGGTTTATAGCAAGGTGAAGTCTGGCCCTGCATACGCCGAGCTGGTCGGCGATGGCACGGTCCATTGCTTAGTATTGTGGCCGCTGCGGCCAGATGCCATGTCGAGCTACTCGTGTACATATGTCAAAGCGGCGGTTTTGCAACCGAACCATTGCTCCCTGCTCAGATGCTTCAATAGCGCAATGATTTCAGGCCCCTGCTTGGAAGCATTATATCCGTCTGACAAGCTTTGCCACCGAGTGGGCTCCCGAAACAACATGCAGGAAACGAACAATTCTAGATGCAGACCCTCAAGGCGAGCAAAATCCTGCGGCCCAATTCTTCGGCCCTGGACGCTTTGAGGTCAGGACCTGGGGTAGGGCCTCAAAGGAAGGCCCTGGGGTGGATCACGGCCTTCGTGAAGTGCCCCTTGGCCAAGAGGCCTAGGTCACAATCGCATAAACTAGTTAGTAACAACACTGTCTTCTTCAAGTCTTCGATTGTGTTGGATCCTGTTAGTTGCTCTCAAGCTGCCACAGCAAACGCAGCCGTCCCAAACCCAAGTCGCGGACCTGAGTCTCGGCCTAGAGGGCCCCAAGCACCTTGAAGCGAGGCTGCGAGGCCTAAGATACTGCGAGGCCGCGAGAGGCAACGCGCACCCGGCCACTGCATGAAACATGGCGAGTGCTAAGGAGAAGCCAGTATTGACCTGGCTAACAAACTTACACGTAGAACTGATAGGTATTCCATGCATACATCCTTGCAGATAATCGGTTTTGCCAGTAGTGTTTCTTCGCACGCAGAACATGCAGAACCGAGGACTGAGCTCTACGGCTCGGACGACGGCGCCTTCGCGGCGCTGCGCGAGGCGAAGGGTTCACAGGGGTAAGGAGTTGAGTTTTCCTGCGGTGCTCGAGAGGCAAAAGCGTAATGTGGTGTATGAATGAGCTGTTTGTTCATTGTCACAGGACCTAGGCGGTAAATCCGCTGTCGAGACTTCCCTGCCTTGATAGGTGTCTGTCGATTTCCACGTAGCTGCCACACATCATTCGTGCTCAGTGCGCATTGTTTGTCGTATACGATGCTGCTTTTTCTTCGTTTACGGGTTCAAATCGTTCCGCCTGAATAGAGTGAAAGCCCTATAATATAGCTCTCCGCAGGGCCTCGAAATTCTCTCTCGTTGGGACTTGCAAAGTAGCCGACGACCTGACAGGACGGCTCGGTGTTCACCTGGGGTCACCCATCCAAGGGCGGCGACAGCAGCTTCGGCGAGAAGGAAGTCACTTTGTTAAGGGAGGATTTTGCAGTGCTAGCTTTCGGTAGCAGTATGCCGTGTGTAATATATTTCCGAGATGCGAGACTGCCGGCCTAGTCGGAGCATTCGAAGGCTTGCAGTAAGCTGGTGGGGTAACACTGACTCTCACCGTCAGGCTGGGCCGTGCAGCATCAGCTTCACAATGTGCAGACGATGCTTGCCTTTGTTCAGACTGTTCAGGGCATGCAAAGACTGTTCATCCAACGCGGCAATGCGGCAACAGAGTGACCTTGCGTTGTGGTTACAGCACCTTCTAGCCAGTAGCAGGCCTAGTTGTATTTTTTCTTAGATGTAACTTTATTTTTTGCTTAGATGTAACGTTTTCCTGCACGCAGGCTTGCTGCACAGCAATGGGAAGCAGAGCTCCGCCCCTCCCCTCCCGTGCCCTCTCCCTCCCCCGGCTTTGGTGTTTAAGGCTTTGCGGCTTAGGACTCCCGCGAAGGAGACAAGACGGGGTTTAAGTGTGTCCGTCTTGCACTCCCTGCCGAATGTCAAGGAGAGCGCCGTCAAGGGGCGTTCCCGAAAGCCTCGCAGAAACCTGATGAGACAAAATGCATGGAGCGGTCCTCAACCCTGACGGAACGTAACCATTCTGAGGGCACATGGGTCATGATTCCCATTTACGCACTGACAAATAACCTTTGGCCGAAGACGAAAACCCTAAGGAGTACACCCGAAGGAGTACACCCAGCACGAAGCTTCCACGAGACGAACAAACCCTAAGGAGTAAACCCCGCAGCATACTGAGCAGCCCGCAGGAACCTGTGGCCGAAGACGCAAACCCTGAGGAGTAGTGAGGATTATACCCAGCACGAAACTTCTACGAAAGACAAAAACCCTAAGGAGTAAACCCCGTAGGAACCTTTGACCGAGGACGAAAAACCCTATGGAGCAGACCCAGCTCGAAGGTTCCACGAGAGACGAAAACACCCTAAAGAGTAGACCCCACAGGAAGCTGTGGCCGAAGACCAAAACCTTGAGGAGTCAACCCCGCAGGAACCTCCGGCCGAAGATAAAGAGTAAACCCTGCAGGAACCTTTGGCCGAGGACGGCAACCCTAAGGAGCAGACCCGTCACGAAGCTTCCAAAACAAGACGAAAGTCCTAAAGAGTAAGCCCAGCACGAACCTTTGGCCGAAGACGAAAACCCTAAGGTGTAAACCCAGCACGAAGTTTCTGCAAAAGACGAAAACCCTAAGGAGCAAACCCAACACTAAACCCAGCACGAAGCTTCCACCAGAGACGAACAAACCCTAAGGACTAAACCCGGCAGAAAACTTGTGGCCGAAGACGACAACCCTGACACCCTGAGTAGTATACCCAGCGCGGAGCTTCTGAGAAAGACGAAGACCCTACATTGACCAAAGACGAAAAATCTGAGGAGAAAACCCAGCACGAACCTTTGGCCGAAGACGAAAACCCTAAGTTGGAAATCCAGCAAGAAGA